CTGCGCACCGATGATGTCTCCTCGTATGGTGACGAAACTTTTGCAAGCCACTTGCCAAGCTTGGCGAACAGATCAACAGCCACCTGATCAACAACCAATACAGCTAGAAAGATTTCATCCTTAACTTCGTCTTAGAAAAACAACAATCCAGCTTGAGCGTTTTTTCAATGCAGCCGTTCATTAGTCCTATCATCGGCTACGATGCGACGGTAGTAATTGGTAGCACTTAAGTGGTCCACAATTATTACTTGAGAGTAGAGGAATGGAGCAAAATGCGAAAACGATCAGCAACATGGTGTCCACATTTCAGAAAAAAGAATGATTCACATGAGGAGCGAACCTTTCATTTGGGACGTCGTCACTTGACGAGCCAGTCAACTACTGGCCACGAGATTTGGATTCCGTGATTGAAGGATAAATAGCGCTTTATCCTGTCACAGTGCAAGTTTCCCTTACTTCTGGTTATCTGCTTTTGGCCGAACGATTGAACGTTCAAACTACGAGTCCGGAGATCGCGGGTTGGAATCTTGCTGGGGTTTTGTGAAGAACAAATTTTGGGGTTGTTGATATCTAACTAGCCTGAACGGGCGCCAGTTGCGCAGGGTGTTGGTATCAGTAGCGAACCTCAACAGGGAATGAATCGGGACCGCTATTATTCCATATTTACCAGGGACATCATAGGTCATTCGCAGGTTTCTAAATACCGTTAATATAAAAGTAGCTTTCCAGGTGGGAACACTATGCGGTCTGCACCAGTGCAATCAAAGGATCACTTTCCGGTAAGCAGAATCAGCGACTGTCTACAAAACTAAGTGTAACGACTACAGTAAGGTCTACGTAAGACAGACAACCAGGAAACTTCACATCAGAATCGAGGAGCATAGGAGAAAAATAAACAGACCGCCGAGAAACGCAAATGAACAATTAGCGTTACTGGAGAACTTGGCAATGGCGGAACATGCACAGGACACGGGATACGAAATAGATCCAGGAAATGTTGGGATTTTGAGGCGAGGACCACAGCCCACGACACAGATACTGATAGCCGAATTGGTAGAAATCGCCAAGCATCTCAGTGCCAACAGAATAGAAGGCGTGGAACTGGCAAGCTTGTGGAGAACGGTTTCGGGTCAATCAAGCTAATACGTTTTGGTATGCAATTATCAGAAGGAAAAGTAGTCATCATCTGGATTCCACTTAACCTTACCCACCTCCCCTTCCCCCAACTAAATTGTCGCAACATTCACGTGCTCATGAAGGTCAAGAAAAACCTACCGGTGGCACCCGAGGTGAATCATCAATCACCCTGAAGTGGAATATTAAGGGACTAATCGTATACTAAGCCCTTAGGGTTATAGGAAGTCCTTGCTGCAGACACCGACCGCTGCGACGAACTTCTATTGGGTTCGTGAACAGTGGGTTGTGTGCAAACGGATTTGAAAATCTGCACTGAATTCGCCAAATTCATCCTACTGGATTGTCCGCTTTGTTGTGTAAATCATATATGGCTGTAAAGTAATGCATGGCAACCGATCATTTTCTTTTTCATGACCTGTCTTTCAGGTGAAAGTTTTGAATGGAGTCTAACTGGCGTGTGACTAGCATCTTGCATGTTCTCACTCATGATCATGAAGCTCTTCTACGCTCTTTCCTTATGTAGACGCTTCATTCTGTTACAGTCAGTTATGTGCGAATGACTGTTTTTCTTTACTGTAAAATGAAAAAAAAACTTCGGTCTGTCAACCGCGAAGGGTCAACAACAACGGCTTTTTACGGCCTTCTCAAGCAACAAGGGAATCCCAAATACTCGATAAGTTTCACCCCAATAAGAGACAATATTGTTGCGCACTGCTCGAGGTCGTCTAAACGACAGTGAAATTTGCAGTTATCTCTTCACAATGACAGTACGAAGATTCGGTCGGATTCTAGATAACTCAGTTTTTTATGGTGATGAAAGCATGGTTAAGCCTGCTTCGACCTGCCTTCATAAGCATTTTTTAGACACTTGTTCGTCTCCGGATTCATTTCGAGGTCATATAACGCGTAAGATGTTGGTGTCTGATGTACACCGACTGCGAGTGGGGTCATCTTGTCAAGCAGAATTGTATATATTTTTTCTGGCAGCTGATTTCAACCTACAGATTGACCGACAAAATAACATCAGTCGCATATATTGATTAGTGGTTTCGATACATGTACTTAGTCGTGTTTTTGTTCTATATCAAATTTTCACCAATGGACGACAGAGTAAGTGCGGGCGGTTGTCGCGCCGTGCTATTTTAAACTATAGTTTGACGGTATTTCATGGATTTTACCCCATAAGCACCCAATCAGCTTATCTCTACAATGGAATTTATCAATAAAATATTCACGTGGATAACGATTTTATTGTCCAGTCACCCACAGGGCAGTGGGCTTTAACAAATCGTTCAATTGGGTGAATGAGTATAACCCGGCGATCGTCGGTTCCACTTTTCATACCCCGTTCTCTTAGCTGTGTTTTTAAACTTCAGCGATATTTCTCTTCCGTTCTAGTCTATTTCTCCCTTAAAGTTGGGGTTGTTGTTCTTAGTGGCACACACTGAGTACTACAAAACCAATCGTACTAAGATAATTTTCCCACCAATAACCGCCCTAGGGGAACGTTGCTCCAAAGGAATTCCATAAAAGGGGTTCTTCTTTATTCGAATAGCCGAAAAATTGAGGATTTACTAACAACGTTAGGATGCATTGAAACAGGTTAGTTTGAATTCAGGTATTCCGCGTGTCTCATCAGCCGTTCATGTCAAAGATTCGGGCTGAATGACGGATAGATAGTTGATAAACAAACGCGCGGGCCCGTGTAAACATTACACTGAACAAAGGTCAGCAAATTCTGGATCGGGTTAAGTAAACTTAATGGAACTGTAAAAATGAATCTATACTGGTCATAGCAAACCATAAATCTACATAATTTGAGTTCGCAGTGGCTAATCGTTGCCACCTAAGTGACGCGTAGTATGCGGTTTTGTTCTGACAGTTTATGCCTTTGAATAACTGTCTTGGTACTTAATATGCGTTGCAACCCAGTAGTTACCGAGCGACTGCACTGCACAAAAGTTTCAAGCTATTAACTGATAACTTTTTTGGGACGCGCTCACATGCCTTTGCAGATAACTGCATCATGGTTCTTCCCAAGTACTGGCTACCACAAATGCGTTGAATAAAAGTATAGGGGTTTCTTATTTTGCATCTTTATTTCTGAAAAAAACAATGTACAGATTGTCAGGACTAGGGCCATGTACCAGTTTTAAAGCGCCTATGTTGGGTTCAAACCGGTTCCCAATCTTATTCAGCCGACCGAAGAAGTAACCAAAGATTCTGGTTTATCCAAGTTGGACTTTGCTCGCATCCCTCTTATACTGTTGAATTAAACAAGGTCGCAGCGCTGAATGGCGCTTTGAGAGTTAAATTCAATCGTCACTGAATTCATCTGTCATTCTGGTCCACTCCAAACATTGATGTGTACTGTACTTTTTGATAACGTGACGTGTGTCGTTCAACAGCACCAATGATATCTTTTTCAGGGTTTTCTCTGTTTTCTCATTACATAAAGATTTGTCCGTATTTCATTGGACGGAAGCTTTTGAAATTAGACCATTTTCCTGCCTAGGTTGGCCTGTGGAATGCCGGTCTGATGTATTACCCATCTTTGCTTTTTACCATCTGGCTATCTAAGCGCTGGAAAGACTCTACTTCAACCATAAATCCAGTAGCTGCGTAGAATTTATTCAGGAAATCAAATACCATTCGTCCATGTGAAATGTCATCCAATAGATCAAAAGTGTCAGTGAAGTGCTCTTTCTAACTAGACTGACGTAATTTTGTATTCTTCATATGTTCCATAAACATATCAATTGATACTGGTCAAAATTGGCATCTCATCGCCACGCAATCAACCTGTCGATTGGGGACTGTATCTCGTTAGTATGCAAGGGTCGGTACCAACGACTAGAGTTATTCATTTCATTGACACGCGCACAGTTTATTAGTTGTCCACCGAGAGCATCGACCCCATTCATGTCTACAGTCCTGGTACTTTTGTCCACGCAGAAAAGAATCCACCACACGATACCTTTCGTCTATATTGATACTACTCAGGTGGTAGAGATGGATAGAACACGCGACGTTTTCGCTGACGGTTTCCTCTAGATTCCTTTGATTAAGGAGACTGTCATGTGGTTGAGTTTTTCTATATCCAGTCACATATTTGCTGGATATTTTCGGTTACCGCCAGAAGCATGGTTTGTTATTTATCAGATTCTCTGCAAGGACCCTATGACAATTCCACTTAAAGCTGTTTGTAATCACGTGCCAAATCGAATACACTGTTATACAAATAAAGTAACCAAACATTTTCCAAAGTAACCAATATTTTCAGAAAATTGTAAAGTACAATTTACGGGGTATGTGCTGAAAATGCATCTTCGCGGAGGACTGTTACGGAACATTTGTTTTTTTCCTTTGGTCACTTATAACATACATTGGTGTGAGCAGTGGCTTTATGAACGTTCGAATTTGTAACCATCTGGTGTTTTAGTGTGGACAAACTGCATTAAGGACTGTTACGAACATTTGTTTTTTTCCTTTGGTCACTTATAACATACATTGGTGTGAGCAGTGGCTTTATGAACGTTCGAATTTGTAACCATCTGGTGTTTTAGTGTGGACAAACTGCATTAAACTTTGCGAAAAGGCTTCAGGTTTTGTGTGGAGCGGTATGTACCTCAAGATAGTGTCCTGCTCAAACCTTGGCTGTGTTTCTTGAGGATGGGTACATGGTCTACCTCACTAGTCCTAGCTGTTGGATAGACCGTTTGAGAGCCGCTTTGCTTCCGTAGAATCGATAAATTGTATGTACGAAATGCCGACCAATCAACGCTTTCATGGGCGTGGATGTCAATGATTGGTTGGCATGTGCCACGTTCTAGCGATAACATCTCGATTCACTGTCGGTCCTCCGAGCTCGTTTAAGGATGCCGGGTGCGAGAAAGAAGTGTGTGCTTGTTACCGGTGGCTGCGGTTTTATCGGTAGTCACACAGTCGTTGATGTGGTGGAGGCTGGCTATGACGTTGTCGCCTTGGACAATCTGGCTAATTCAAATATGGGTAGGTCTGCTCTTCACTTGTACCACTGTGGACTTTTCCATGGATCCTTCTAGCCGGCCGCATTGGGCTAAGCTACGTTGTAATACGATCTTCATCTCACATCACTCAGCAGGTCCTTGGGTCACTTTTAGACTGTATCGAATAAGCCGCAGGTTGAAAGCATGAATGAATAAGAGTTTAGGTAGAGTTTCCGTCCCTTGCCTGCTGTAGAGGCACCACAGTAACGAACTTTTTGGTGACTGGGAACTTGAAACCTGGCACACGCTCGTGGGGCGCTTCGCCACAAGGCTGATCGCTGCTTGAGGTGAAATCAGCGAATGCTACGTGCAGTGAACATGAAATTGCCCGCTTTTAACATAAACCAAATTTTGAAAATTTTGGGATAGCGTGGTCTGAATTGAGCTTATGTAGAGTTGGAGGTTCGTCAGCCAGAAAAGTCTAGCACACAGATGGGTTTGGCAAAATATGCAACCCTATGGCAAAGCTCTGGATTGCGATAGGCTGCGATGTCAACAGACGCAGTTTGGAACAGAACCTTGTGTTTTACACAAGCAAAGAAGAATATGGGGTGAATATCGGACAGAATTCCCGGAACTTCTGTCTACCTTTGATATTTGAATACGTGAAGACCTAACACGAAGATTTATGTAGGACACAGCACCCAAACTTTGCAAACGTGTTCGTGCCTACTGTGCTTCGGCGATCTGATAGACCTGTTTCTTGTATGCGTCTACCTAAGCATATGGATTGGTTGCAGTCCAGTGCGAATATCGATCCGTTGTCGATCTCTTCGGCGCAAGACAAGAAAGCCAATCGAGTAGTTGAGTCACCTCGAGTTTGGATAGATCTCAATAGTATTTTCTCAGGGCTCCGTTTGGAAATTCATGGCGGCTTAGTGGCAGTCAGCTTGGACAACATGTGTACAATGGGCTCACACAAGAACATTATCTCGACCCCTGGTGTCATGTGCCTAAGTTTATTTTGGAAACTACCGTGTTATCAGCCGAGCAGTGCAATTCACAGAGCCTTCGCACACTTTCTCATTGGTGCTCCTGGATACCACCGGCTTTATTAATGCCGTTTATTCATGCAATGTTAGCAGTGCATAGGATTATTTTTATTCTGGGCTCTTATTCTCCAATATTCCTTTTGTAGTTCTTTCAGTTTTTGTAGGTTGCCATTAATCTTGTTCGAAAGTTTTGCCCAATTTCCAGAATTTTGTACAATGTATGGTTTGTGGTTCGTTTCTATAGTATGATTTACCCTTAGTGACAGTCAAGCTTCCACCACGGGTCTGTAGGAAGACGGCAATATCATCTCTCTTCAGCTGCTGATTGCGTCCCTTTTCTTGTTCGAGGTAGGGTTGAGAGTACCACTGCGTGCACTACGGTTCAGTGAATTTGTGGATTATTTTCACCAATATCGGTAGACTTCGTTGCGACCACCAGACTGGCCATGACCCCAGGATTTGTAGCTCCCGTAAAGTTGAAATTGAGCACCCTAATGATGATCTTTTGTTTTTCCTTGTTCACTGGAGCGATTCTTGACTGGCGTTATTCTCAAATTCCAAGTTTTTAATTAGTCCCCAATGATTTTCAAGCCTAAGATTCTTTGCAGCTGTGGATTCAGCTCACCTCGGTTAATTTGCCTACCTTATGTAGAGGTTCCGGATCTCTCAAACAAGCTTCCTTTTCTTCATTAGCAACGCTCATATTTCGTAAGATGGTCTTGTGTATCCGTGGTCACGAAGCCCTGAGATTCTGAAATCGCGTACCAGTACTCTCACTTTCAGATCGGTCATTTTCCATGTTCTGTCTTTAAGATGAACACAAATCGATCAGTCTGACAATGAGGGCGCGGAAAGTAGCTAATCACTGACGATTCGGGCTACTTTCGTCCAAAATGCGAACCCCGACAGTGTGTTTTTTTGGCCTACGGGACCACGAGGTGAAGACCAACTCCCTCATTGTAGCGCAACATACGATTAAAGGATGTGTGATAGTTGACCAATCTGCCGATATTGGCATATCACATGAAAATAACTATGAAGGCTACCCATCAAACAGCCTAATGAAAGTGGAGACTGCGAACCACAAGCAGTACCAGACTATTGAGAGAAGGTTGAAGACTCGTACAGTACCTGGTTCTTGCAGTGAGGTCTTGGGGGCATGTTGTTTATTTAGTTCTCCATTAGAATCCAATTTTTGTTATGTATGAAAAATGGAAGGAAACGCAACACCTTTCTTATAAAACCAAATAGCTGACTTTAGTGCTACGAGAATTTTGAGATGAATACGGCATATTTACACATAGGCAAGTGACAAAAAATTTCCGTGATGCTAGAGAAAGAAATGAAAAGTTTGCTGACCCTTGTGTGGAAACCAGGATGGTTTTTACCTGGTTACAAAAGCTCCTCACTCTTCTGACGAGGAGGATGAGGAACCGCAACTGTCAGTTTTCCACCCAGTGCGTTGTGTTTTCAGGGTCGATTGTAAGAATTCCCAAGCAACACACCCCGTGTCTGCTAATGATCTCCGTGATTTCATATCATGTCTCTGTCCAACTATAGAGATGTCTCAAACTGTACATCAATGAAGTTTGTAAAATAATCCGATTAATACTCGACCGGCTGGTTGGAACAGAAGAAATTCGATGGTGATATCAACAAGGAACCCGGTGATTCTGCTTGACACCCTGAAAGTGATGAGGATGTTGTAACATGACACTTGTCTTAGAGTCCTTGTTTTTTTTTCTCGCAAGGGTTATATAAGCATCTGTGATAAACACACCTGTGAGTAGTTTATGTGTATTTTTTTCTACTTTGCAGAGGCCTTGCGTCGGGTGGAGAAAATCTGTGGCCAGAAGATCCCGTTCGACATCGTTGATCTAGTTGATTTGAAGGCCTTAGAAGATTTTTTCGATAAAGTAAGTCTTCAGTTAGTTTTAAATTTGTTTTTTACACTTCCTGTCGGTGAACATAAGCTATCAGTTGCGCGTCTTTTGAAATTGGCTATGCTTTCTACTGATGGTTGACAATTACAGGGAAATCCCCATTTTCATTATTTGCTTGACTACACGGGGACTGACTCCTATGACAGAATGAGATGGATTCCCGTACAACGAACGATGTTCAGAGGACAAGTACGCAACGACTGATCTCCAATTCTGACACCTCAACATCATCGTCGACAGCGTGACATCAGTGTTCAACACTGATGCTTCGCTGCCATACAACTGTGATTCACTTGAAAGCCTTATTCGTGTACATTACAGATTCATGTCACACTGCAATCAGAATTACTACAACTTCCAAGATACGTGAAACGCTCCACAACTTCCAGTACCTCTCCCTGGATTGTGAGTGGGGTGTTCAGTGACTGCATGTTTAGGAGCATGACCTTACGCTTCGTGGGTGCAAGGTGCTTACAAAATGACGGATGACTTTGGTCAGTTCATCCAAGACACCTGTGCCTTCTCTTCGAAGACGAGAATGATGTCGTCTGAGAAATCCAAATCGACCGGGTTTCCGTCATAGGCTATTTGAACATCAGGGTTATCAAGACCGAATCGATATACGTACGGACTCATGTTCTCGTCTGTTTCCTGAGGCGCCAGATTCTTCGCCAGCATGGGGAATGATCCCAAGCAATTTTTCAGAGCTACCCGAATCTTCGGCGAACGAAACTGTTGCAGTTATAACCACTGTACGGCAGGTACGCGGGTTTTACAGCCGATACCGATGATTTTAGTCTTCCCGACAACGGCACTGCGTTGATTGCCTGAAACGTTGGATCATTAATCAGTGCGCTCTAACCGCTGTGTCGTATATCCTGCCCGGGCACCTGAGGTACTAATAGTCAAACCCCCGAGTTTGAGGATGCCTTGTATGCAAAGTAGACGAGTTTGACAAACACCAGTTTTTGGCACAGAGGAGTACTGCGAATGAACGTTTGTCCACAAGCAGTTTCACTGATCCCCTACAAGGACTTCACAAAACTTATTGTAATTTTTCATAAAAGACTTGATCATCTGTCGTCCTTATCATAAGTTTTATGTACTTATCACACTCAAAACGTTCTGTCCCTGTTCTCAATAAAATGAAGCGCCAACTTTCGTTATTCTTTTAGCAGCATAATCCGAACCTAGCCATTTCATCGATATCATTCTCCTTTCATCACGTTTTTTGTGAACATTTCTTACATGGTGTCGATGAAATTTTTTGTCCCTTTCTCAATAAAATGAAGCGCCAACTTTCGTTATTCTTTTAGCAGCATAATCCGAACCTAGCCATTTCATCGATATCATTCTCCTTTCATCACGTTTTTTGTGAACATTTCTTACATGGTGTCGATGAAATTTGACCGCCGTTCCATGTTTGGGGATAGTACATTGTCTTGCCTCATAAATTAGGAGGCAATCAGCAATGTCATATCGCCTCTATTCCAACTGGTAATTTGGTCAATCAAGCGCTGGACTACCTGTCACTTTTCTACCCACTCCAGTCTGCACCAGGTTATCTTCATAATAACCCTGAAATTGATAGTATCACTTGGACAAACAGCCAACCTTACCCCATCTTGCTTGTTTGTTTCAGTACAAAATTGACTACGTGATCCACTTCGCCGCATTGAAAAGTGTGGGAGATTCGGTGAAGCAACCGTTGCAATATTATGAGAACAATATTGTTGGTCTACTAAACCTCTTGAAGGTGGGTGTTGTAACTAGTTGGTATTGTCACAACTTGCCCGTGATACATTAGACGCTTCCGGTTTAGTGAACTCTTATTTGTTTTTATCGGATCTTCAGAGATATGAGGTCCGAATCAATGTCCCTTTAACACCATAACAAAATGAATACCAACAATACCAACAATCACCTGTAAGTTTTTTCATGACGTCGTGTCCTGCGATTTTGCCAAACATGTCCCGGTCGGACGCAGCATCGGCTGGAATCAATTTTGGTCTCAGCTACTCGAAGTTCTACGCTACTTTCTATCTATTCGAGACAAAATAGCCCAAACAGCTCATAGATCTTCTGTATGAAACGTTTGTACCTGATCTCGGTTCTTCAGGTTTCACTTTCTCCTGTCTAGTTTTGCAAAACCCAGCAGTATCCCAGTTGCGTGTGTCCTGTTACTCGTATGGCAGATGCACAGACAGTGCGGCATTTGATTCAAAATGATCTTTGGCTTCTCGTTAATTCACGTGCGTACTTTAACCGCATTTTTCACTGCTCCAGGTAATGACTGCACGTAACATCAAGAATTTAGTGTTTTCCAGCTCGTGCACTGTCTATGGCGAGCCACAATCTCTGCCGCTCAAGGAAGATCACCCCATTGGTGATTGTGTGAATCCCTACGGGGCCACGAAGTATTTCGCGGAGATCATTCTCAAGGTAGGTTGAAAAAGATTTCTGGTTGGTTATGTCTGCAGATATTTGATCTCATATTTGCCGTTTTCCTCCACCAGATAACTTCCTAGAGTTTTGATAGAACCGCCTCCATTATAAACAGGCTTTTAAAGTATTATCACGGCACAGTCCTTTAGATTCGTCAGAGCATGACTGACTCACTATTATGCATGTTCATCCGTTAACTTCCCTATCAGTCCACCTAACTCATTATTTATCAAGTCCTTTAAGTTGTTTTTTCGTTGTTCTGACGTGCACTCGACTTTCCTCTAACATATCACTGAGCTTGATATACGTTTCACTCAACACAGCTTCATCTCATTTTGCTGTAGCGAAAGGACAACTGGTTGGCAGGATGAGGCCATTCCAGTCGGCCCGAGTGTATGTCATACTGTGGTTAAATGAGCGTGCAATAAATTATATTCCTGGCGCAGTTGCCCCGCACCCTGCGAAGAAGTGACTTTTTCCTCCCTAGATTTTACAAGTAAGAAAGAATGAGTTTTGTGGCAGGAGTCTGTACGGCACATTGCTTTCATATTCTATACAGCGCTGTAAACCAAATAGGCTAATCTACCACCAATAACTTTGCCCTCGAAGTTGCCGGGACCGTCTTTGTCTTTGGTTAAATGTTGCATCAGTGCCATTACTGATGTTGCTGTCTCTGATGATGATGACACTTTTCCAGTGTTTTCAGTCACGCCTAGAGACCAGCAACTTGTGATCGGTTCCTTTAGGTGGTATTTCCATTGTTTTTTTAGGAATGAGCCGGGATTTCACAGCTGCCAAGGATGACGAACTGATGTTGCTCTGATGATGATGACACTTTTCCAGTGTTTTCAGTCACGCCTAGAGACCAGCAACTTGTGATCGGTTCCTTCAGGTGGTCCTTCCATTGTTTTTTAGGAATGAGCCGGGATTTCACAGCTGCCAAGGATGACGAACGTTTGACTATGCATTACGTTTTTGGTGGATTCAACGGCTCAAATATGTAAAGCACCACATCCTATCCTAAAAGCAGGTCAAAACGGCTAAGATAAAATTTGATCAGTGGTGATTTGAGGAAAGTTAATCACTGCTGATTAGCCACTCCTGACCAAAAGGTTAAGTGTCAAATTGTCGACGGGAAGATCTCTGAGGCTCGTCAGATTCGCATTGCTGATGTTTCCGAACAAGGATGAAACAGCTGTACGGTGCTTCTTGATACTTTAGCATAGATTGGCTTCACTGATTGGCAGGCATGGTGTGTCAGCAATCCTATTTAATCTGAGATCCGACTCTCTGCTTCGACCTATTTTGTTTTGTGCGTTCCTCAGAGGCTTTTTATGCCCTCACATACTACAGGATCTTCATAGATCAGACCCTTCATGGAACATCGTCAGTCTGCGGTATTTTAATCCTATCGGAGCTCATGAATCCGGGGATATTGGCGAAGACCCCATAGGCGTGCCGAGTAATCTGATGCCCTATGTATCCCAAGTTGCGATTGGCCAGCGTCCTCACGTGAACGTGTTTGGCAGCGATTATAAGACGGCTGATGGAACAGGTAACATTTGCGTTACTTTATAAACCGCGTTTTCTAATATTTTTTGGCTTCTCTCTATGGGTGCTACGAGTCTGGAATCCGAGTGCCGGAGTTCTATAAAGTTCAGCTTTGCGCCTGTTTGTTTTTGCTCTGTGTTCTGACTGCCTGGTTTCTGTTGTCTTTGCTTCCGTCGGAAGTATTGTTACAGTCTTCGACTTCACCGAGCTGAGCTGCTGATTTATCATGCTTTTTTCATTTGACATTCGCGTTTGCTTTATCGTTGAGCATGATGTCTCCATACCATCTTTTCGTTTGTTGGTGAAAGTAACCACTCCTCATGGGTACACTAATTCTTGGTGCATTCCGAAACGGAGGCTTTCCAATTATTTAGGGGAAAGACATCTAGGTTTTTTTCAATCCTACCCATAACGTTTTCCTATCTTAATAAATGGGATGCAATCTTCATTTTCATCAAAAACCACAAGTAATGTATTTTTGTCCGATCAAGTTGAAGACGATGCTAAAAGTCCGTGTAGGTTTCTGTTAAATATTGCTAATGAGCAACTAAGTCCTCGGATGTTCCGTTTCTGAGGTTGCTTGACCTACACTTTTGCGTCTCACGGAAACTTTGTTCCTGATCGAAATGGAAACTCTCTCAGTGGCTTAATCCTGAATGTTGACCGTCAGTCATCGCTTCAACGAACTTAACCAGAAGACTCGATTTCATCACAAAGCGGAAGCTACTTTGGCAAAGCGACATTGTTTATGCACTCATCACATTCTTATTATCATAAGAGCTTTGGAAGGTAGATAGTCTTCAATGCCGTAACAGAAATAACACTCCTCAAGCATATGTGAAGCGTAAATGATTTATCACGCGTTTCTACTGGTTTCGATTGCCACACTGTTCGGTTGTTTCTGTCTTGTTCTCATGTATTTTGCTTTCACTGTATTATATCGTGTTTGATTGAAGTAACTTTTGTATGTGTTTTGTGTTTACTTGTACAAATGACACATTTTAAACCTTTTGAGACTCTGGAGTGCTAAACCTACAATCGTGTTGGAGATAACTCTACAACCGTTGCTTTACTGACCAAGCTGAAAGCGGGCTAGCACGAGCTGTCCATGCATGTGCGTTCGTCTTGCATGAGTCTTTTAAGTGATGCAGGTCGCTAGACAACCTTTTGTGTACACTACGAGTCTCACTTGTTCAGTTGTATCTACCAAGCTCTGAAACCTATTGACCACCAAATGAGTATTTTTGGTAACTGTGAAACTTGCCAACCTCCGGTCTCATTCTCGCGGATTTACACAAGCTACAGACAGTCCACCAGACGCGCCTGCTGCAGCGCCAATCATGATTGGAGTTAAACGACATCGTTCGACGTCACAAACCGATCCGAAGACGAATGTCAGGTTATCAAGGACTTCGGCAGCTTTCCTAGAAGTTCGTAAGGAAGTTCAGGCGGACGTAATCCTGAGAACTTTGTTTTTCGCATATTAAAAGCCTCCGGAATAGGATAGTTCTTGTACACTCTATATGAATTTCGGGTGAATTAATGCATCTCCCATTCAAACCAGCCATGTAGGTACGTGAATGCAATTCACATATTCTTATCTTCCCTCATAGACAGTTATTTTATAAGACCCAATCTATAGCTTGTTTCAAATTTGAGGTTACTTCAACACATCAAAATTGCCCGCTTTTACGGAATTCATGAATTTAAGATTGTCCGGTGTGATTAGCTTACGTTACACTATTTTTTATGGCTTTGACAGGGGTCCGAGATTACATACACATCACCGACCTAGCTCGGGCCCACGTTATGTCTCTGGCGAAATTGGATGAACAGTGTGGACACAAAGTAAGCAGTCCTATTGCTTGAGTTCGAATGAGTTCTGGACAAAGGCTAGATATTGTACGAGTTTATGGGACACCGTGCGGAACTTCATCGTTTTGTCCTCTTTTTCCTCAAACTGATGCTTATTTTCATTTGGATAAGGTGCGTGTTTGAAGTTTTTCAAATGATCCCGAGCTAGATTAATAGAAGTATTTTTCTTGGTTCCTATAAGGTACAAGTCTGTTCACATGAGTGGTCGTACAGCCACCGAATTACGATTCTGAATTATTCGGTCTGTTGAAAGAGGCAAACTTTTGTGGACATTTGACATCTGATCTGATCCACGGTTAATTCGCATCAGACTGCTTATGCAAACGGATCTTCTCCTTAGTAGACCGTGAAGACCAAACGAAACCATACTTTGAGGACGTTTCCGGTCTTCGGCGTGAAACGCTACGGTTCTTCTCGTGCTGTGTACTCCTTCCCCTCCTTGGGCTTTCCTCATTTCCCATATTCTCTCTATCTTTGGTGAACGCACTGATAAGCCCAATGAGAAACCGTTCATTTTGCGAATAAAATTTTGACCAGTGATCAGCACTGGACGACGAACCAAGTGAAATTCAGCTGCGATATGTTGTAGTAAATTATCTCCGAATTGCACTAGATTCATTACGGTATTTCACAATAATCTAACTTTTAGGCCTATAATCTCGGTACTGGCACAGGCTACTCCGTTCTACAACTGATCAAGGCTATGGAAAAGGCATGTGGTAAACCGATTCCCTACAAAATGTGTTCACGCCGTGAGGGCGATACGTCAATGGTGTATGCCGACCCATCGCTGGCTGAGAAAGAACTCAAATGGAAGACTAAATACGGCTTGGATGTAAGTTATCTTGGTCACGTTAGAATATGATATCATGACAAACTGGATATCATTGTCGAGTGTATACGTTTCACGCATAATGTTTCTCCTTAATCGCTGTTACCGTCACTAAGAGACAAACTCATCGTATTGTGTACCTCCGCGACGCATTGAGCTATACTGGTGTGTGTGTGTGTCTGTGCGACTCACACAGTCTGTCATGATGGGATGCCGACTAGTTAGAGATCTGATGAACACAGTCTCCGGGTTCTCCAGGTAGGGGGTTGGGACATTTGTGGCGACTTTGTTCTGTAACAAGTGAAATCCACTTGAATTTCACGCCTAACACCGCTGCCTTCCAACCAGGCTTATGAGCCAAAGGCCTTCCTAGATGTAGGCGCCCTGGCAGTATCCCAGCCCACGTACAACCATGATTTGCACACATAAAAGTAATCTCTTATATTACGTCAGCGAAGCACCAATGTTATGCTGTCGATGATGAGGTTGACGTAATCGCGTTTAAATCTGTTAGATCATCTCGTACACAATGTGAACTGTACAACAACTATTGTGACTGCTAACCACATATCCGGTCTTGTCCTAAGGCCAATATGTTTGAAATGAAGATACTGAATGTGTGTATCCCTGCTTATTGCTCTGGTTTGACTCCTTTGCTACGAAATCGGTCACAATTGCTCACTGGCTGTCAGGGCGTGCCCAGACAGAAGAAAAAGTACATGTGCAGAGAGTGACGCATCCCCAAGGTCATCATCGGTTCGACACGCCCGGAAAGTAGGTAAGTTGGCGGCCCTCACCAAACGGCTTAGCAACACACGACCAGCGTAGTGGGCCTGAGAATGTTCACGACCGGAACACCACCATTGGCTGTACGGAGCGAACAAGTGAACGACCATATTTGGCCAATTAGTCATCCTATATATTTACGCAGACGCTCTGTACGTTTTGTCCTGGCAATACAGCCGTGTCCCCCAGTTCTCTGTCTTCTCCCTATCGCGTAGTCTGGCCTAAACTCTTACCTTCAACTTCTCTTGTCTTCCTTCTCGTTTGTGATATGCGTGGCTAGACTTAGTTTCAACGAACGCTGCGTAATTTTGCCTTCTGATTCGAGTAACTAGTGGCTTCATACCCAGGATTATTTTATTTCCGGAATGCTGGTGCACCAATTTCCTTTTGACGTTTATACCATTTTCGTTAATAGCAGTTGGTTTTGCTACATCAGAATAAGTTTTCTGGACGAAGTCCAACCTGTCTATCTCTTCAACTTCACGTGGTTATCGAACTCCTGTGCTGCATTGAGTCACCACATCCGTAACAGCGTCTCTTTTGATTTGGACTTTCCAATTGAAAGTGCCCTACGTCACTGGTGCTGCAAACCGTACTACGATAGTGTGAAATGACAGCGTCTCTCGGAGTCGGATGCCACACGGTCCCAGTTGGGCCCACAACCATACGAAGTCGTTAGTAGTGCTCGCAAATGACCTACAACTAAGAATACCATATGATGAAGTGAGTATGTCGCGTAAAATTCCTGTGGATATACCGATCAATCTATCCCGACTCTGGCACGCGACTCATCTCTATCCACATTCAACCGAAGACACATGTCGACTTAGCTTTCGATGGAATCGAATAAACGGGTGATTTCAAAGAAACTGAACTGACCAATGATAGCTTCCTCCGATTCTCTGGTCATTTCACCCAGATAAGTTCTGAGTAGAAGGTTTCGTAGCAGGTAAAGTTTATCTGAAGAAGAAACCGGGATGTTGTAGTAAGTGAAAAACGGCGGTTTTCACACTGACCTTACTATCCTGAATACCCGATATCCGGCTTTATATTGCCTGAATACATCCAGCGTATCTGACTGGCGTATCTGACCATACCAAACTTATGAGTTTTTAATGTGCCTGAGTTATTTGTATCTCAGACAGGTGGAAAATGTTTTGGTTGCTTTTTCAGGATAATGGTTGTTTGGTGACCGATTGTCACATTCTGTCAGTCACTTCATAGGAGAGCAATTTGAAGCCATTGACAGTCTGCTAGGCCCTGTGCCTGGAGGCGGAAAGTTTCCTTTTAAGGAGTGAACTTTAAGGAACTTCTAACCAGCAATCTCATTTCACCCTCATTGGTAGACCGAACTATAAAGGTCTGTCTTGCACCAAAACAAGTTTCTTCCATTTAACAGGCAAAATGTGTTGCTATGTAACTTGTCAAGTAAAAAACCTCTTTCCTAATCTTATTAAAATTTGAGAAGCCCGGTAGAGGTGGAGTAGATTTAGCGGCGTTTTCCCTAGTGCATCAACCCCACTTTATCACACGATCCGCAGTGTGCTTTGTGGGGTATTTTATCCATGTTGCACATCATCCTCTTGCTCCCACCTGGCTAGAATTAATACTTCTCACGGTTTCACGATTTCAGAAAATGTGCGAAGACCAGTGGCGTTGGCAGATGAAAAACCCAAACGGATTCAGCACTCAAAAGTCGTAAACTTCTGGTTTTAGGAATCCCTTTCCTTATGAAATTCTCCAGTTTGCCGAGTTACATTCACATTCCCACGCTTGTGAACAAGCCTTCCCATGTGCTTTCTTGAGGTCGACAGTGTGATTTGAATGTTGCTGTTTTCCTTATCGGGTGCTTCGATAATTTGTCGATATTTGTATGGAATACATGTGCGGGTGCCGTCCGATTTCGCCAGTTGAATCTGCTGTAAATGTGCCTTTCGGATTCCTTGCTATTCCTTCTTTTGATATTGTGCGCCTGTCTAAACCCTTCATTGGGATTGAGTATTGATTTCCGCGTTAACCAAATAAGGCCTTCAGCTAGTATGGATACAACGTTTTGTGGTTCAGTTGAACACAATTGCAATCGCGTTCAAGAGAGATGATGATACCAAAACTTAATGAGAAGACGGTGAAAAATACGTCTAGGACGTGCGGTGATCACAATCCATTTTTCCCGGTTACAGTAACATGCTATTGTATACCGCTGTTTGGTATTGTGTCTACGGTCGAAACAAGGTATTGAAATTAGAGGTCCTCGTTATTTTACCTGCAAAATCGGTCACGTTCCTCTTCCAGTTTTCCATATCTCATTGGTTGGTTGGGACGTGCCGAGTCTGAAAACACAGATCATATTTATTTCCGGTAACTGGAACACCGCTCCAAATTATCAGGCTCTCTGATACCAAGTACAGTAGATTTTGGAACCCTTTGAAAAGTTGACTATTTGGGATTTATTCACTCACGTTTATCACATTTGACACCCCTGGTACTTAGCCACCTTTTTGGGGGGAGGGGGGCTAAACAACTCAGTTGCATCTAATCCCAGCGGGGAGCGCTTCACTATTGGACAGCCTCTCATGTTAAGCATGCATCAAACGTAACACATATCCGACTCTTCAACTTCGGTACTCCCAAATTCGAATGTTATGAACCGCCGAACTAGCCATCTGAGAACTTTGACTGTTGAGATCGCAACAGAGTACCTAGCTGCTTCCAAAGTTTGTCAACCGATTTGATGTTCCCTGAGTTTGGCACTTATGTTGCAGCGGACCGCACAACTTTCTTCCGGGGCAGATGCTGTCCCAATCAAACAACGATCACTCTTTCGGTGAGTTTGGCAGATTGTTTTTGGAGAGAGATTTTATTAGACACCAATTCCTAAAAGTAGGCGATTTTTCATCTATACAAGGTTCTCTCAGAAAAAGGATATAGAAATGTCATTCAACCATTGGAACACAGTTAAGTAGCGAAAACCGTCAATCAATTCAAAAAGGCCGTGAATGCCGACTAACCGGCATCACTGCGTGTGTAGTAACAACTTCACGTTTAGCATCAGTCAGCCTCGTGTGAATTTGCAGTAGATCAGGTAACGGAAGTTAAACACATGTGTAACTCATCGAGTTTGTAAGTCAAATTCGGACCAGATTTTCGTTGACACCGCTTACATTCTTATTGACCTCTCATTGACCTCGTGTGATTCATATGGAAATGCCTGAGATTGCATAGCCTTGCGAGATTACATGAACGCTACATAGGTGCACAGTTGGACTATCGTGTGAAAACGCGAGATGGTGTGCCGATTCACAATGATGCAGACTACGACGAGCCGTATAAGACCAAAAGTCACATTAGAAAGGTTTTAACTCTTTTATGGAGGCTTCATACAACATAATAGGCAGATTTGATATCACAGTTGTTTCATGCGTGCGTTGATAATCGATTGACTCTCAGGATGGGTTGTGACAGGAGTGAGACGGCCCAAGTGGTAAGAACGCGAATTTACTGACCGGAAGGTCCGTGGTTCGAATCCCACCTCCGCCTCTTGACATCCCCTGTCTAGGCTTGGGCAACCTAGCAGTATCCCAGCCCTCGTGCTTCCTTCGGGTGGCATCGCAGCTAGGCACCGGAAGAGTGCTACAGCTTAACGGTTTTTTTGTGACAGTTACGGTTGCTGACTGGATTGCTAACGACACAGTACTATTCATTTCGAACTCCCCCAAAATCGGGTGATTTTGAATTCTCCCAACTAAGAACTTGTTTGTCGGTCTTATTTTCAAAGGAGATTTCGTCCTCTAGATGAAACCAATCTTTGCTAAGATCAAATTAAACACATTGCTAATCAGATTCGCCTTGCCGAACGGTTAAATGTTCAGACTGCTAGACGGGTCGGAAACTTCCTGGAATTTTGCGAGAGGCACACAGCTGACCACCCTCATTAGCCACGAGGTGGAAAACGTATGACTTAGCAGAAGAGTGTGAAAGGTGAACTCTCTAGCTGTAGGAAAGTGAAGTCTCAGTGTCAACTGAGTGCAACCCCGGAAACTTTATCCCAGTTGATGGTGCGTGAACTTCTCACTCAGTGAGTGCAGTGGATTAGTAAGGCTACTACAGCATTAATAAGTTAGGTGAATTAGGGGTCTCTGCATATCGCCTCAGCTAATGAAGACTGCGTCCACCAGATAGCTACCGTTACGCGTTCGTAATTTATCTCATCAGTGCCGCTCGAAAAATCGTGTATACGCTGCCTTAGATTCACATTGCTTATATAGTATGACTGTTCGTAAAAATGTACGTGGGCTTATCTCAGAATCTGCAAATCCAGTTGAAACACTAATAAAATCAAAAGATCTACGGATGATTGTTACCTCCCCTATAGAGATAGAAGTCTAAGTCACCCTATCTAAGGACACAACACTAAAGTTATTTTAAGGCGTGAAAATTTAAATTTAATTGCAGAAGTGGTCTCGCGCAGACGCTTTTTTAGTCGACGTCAAAGGCCAAGTAGTCGTTATATTTCGCTTGCTGCTTGCCATAGCGTTTATCTCTACATAGTGTCGTGGAAAGTGGTCCAGAAACTTCGGTCTTATTAACCGTCTGCCTCTGACTTTTATTCCATAATTGTTATAATCCAATGTCTAGGACTTTGGAAGACGGTGCTTCCTACCTCAGCCATGGTCGACTAACAGATTGCGCACAGTTTGGGTTAAAATGAACCCTGGCACTTCGTGTTCAAATGCTCCTTTTAAAGCTCAGTAGGAGCCCAACAGACCCGCCTTGTAGAGCGCGACTGGCCGCAGACCGTAAACTGCCTTCAATGTAGCCCAGTTGGCAATACCCCAAAGACTGAAACGCTTTCAATCTTTTGGGGACGTTTTTCGGAAAATATCCTAGTTTCACGACAGCCGACGCGGAAGCATGATCCATCTTAAATGGTGCAAACCCACTGAACAAACCTTTCTGATTACTCAGTGAAACAATACACATCTATTTGCTCTTACTGTTTTTTCTTTATTTTCCGTGTCACATTCCTTGTGTTCTGTGGGGCAATGGAGGCTCAGGGTATTCCAAATAACTGCAGCGAGAAGCTGAATGTTTTCTCTCATTCTAGTAATCATTAAAGACCTAAATAAATGTTCATGTGTGTGACGCGATGAGGGAGCGAGTGGAAGTGCATTGGTTGAAGTTCTCCCAACCATTACTAGCCCACCAGTAACTATTCAAAGTTCACGGGAAATCGTCGGGTGTATGCCAGTGCCATGCAACCACACTTGTACGTTATATTAGGATCCACTCCATCACCAATCATTAAAAATTAGCCGAGGTGAAGAAACATGTTCCAGTATGACCTGGTAAACAGGTAAACTCGCGTCCATCATATACGGGTTGACCGAATCCACCAGTTGGTAGTACGAAGGGGCCTAGCCATAATCTCTACGCTAGCACCAGTGTAGGGGTTCTGGTATTGCGCCTACTAGATATCACACGGAAATTTGGTCTCGTCTATGTGCGCCACTAGCGTGTGCTGATAGTCAGGTTGAGTGATCAACTAGGAACGACCAGTAGGTCAACCGGCTAGAAAATCAGTGTTGTATATCTAGTAACAGATGCTGTGGTAGGTCAAGAGTACACATTGCTCTACGTTACACGACAGCTTCCAGTAGGAGAAAAACATCAACTTTGGAGGGAATATGCGTCGTGAATATTGAACTCTGATTTTTGTTAAGGACAGTGTCGCATTCTGAGTGGGTAAAGGTGCTTATAAGTGCATTTGAATGCCTCTCTACGCTGTTCTTTTCCGACAATGCCTTTTAGCCACAAATCGCTCTTTCCAGTCAGACTGCAGCTTAATCATTAATTTCGGGTAATTGGCACCCCTAAGCAGCCAAACGGTATTTCCGATTTTACCAGAATGCTTCGCTTCATGTCGAGTTTATATAAGATCTATCACTATATAGCGAGGGTAATCTGCGTGGAGTATTTGTTTTGGTGATCGTGCGGGAAATCCTAAATCTAATTAGAAAGGTTTCATACTCCATGCTCATAAATCTGGTTTTTGTGAACTTGCTAAATGGACCTCCATGTGCAGAAAGCAATATCAACATTAAACGTTCAGTATTCGCACGATGGACTTGAATTTTCGAGAGCTATGACGTGTCCCTAATGGACCGAAGCAATCAAGCAACTGAGTTCGGTGTACCAGTCTAAACTTTTAAGCCCAATTTAGGCATCCCAGGGTTTCAGCGATGCTGGAAAATTGCTCCACCAGCCTTTTCCGCCTGAGGTATGATTGCTTCACTGGACAAGGAAATTTGGTGATTCGCAAAAGTGTTACCGTAGATTAGAATGGTTTTCGGTTTGGGGACATACGCAACAAAATGCAACATTTTGGCACAAAACGTTTTACTCCGCTCGCTAAGGTTTTGCGCCCAAGAGCATCGTGCGGCTACTGGACCCCCCGAGTCACGTTTTCCGAAACCAACAAGCTCACTCGTCTGCGTCAGCCCATAGTCACTTTATACGAGGTGTCGATTACTACTGTCTCTTTTCGTAATTTGTTTTGCCATAGTGGTTTCCTGTGGGACGGTGAAAATATCTGTGGAAGTTCTCCCGAGATCAGCTGCGCCACATATTTTGGTCTCTGATAAGTCTTTCACCAGATTTCTCCAGACATCTGCTTTTGCCGTACATTAGACCGGACTTCAGCATTACAGCTCGTCGAGGTAGAACCTCGACTTATCAAGGACCGAAAATATGTGTCGCAACTGATTTCGGGTGCCCAATTGCATTCAGTCAAGTTTGAGTCTCAGTATCGGCAATATCCAACAAGGATATGAAGCCCATCCAGTTACGTCAAATATTCACGAAGAATGGTGTCTTATCTTACGCTCCACATAAGCTGCTGGAATTATTCTGAGGCGTTCAATAACCCAAAAGGCACTGTCTATAAATCACCCAGTAACAAATACAGGACAAAGCCATCCTCAGCCTACTTTTTGTAGCCGCTTACACCTGCCAACAACAGGACACAAGACTAGAACGCCATACTTTTTTCCGTTCTTGATGGTAGAAAAGCGTCAGATCAAATTATATCATTCAATTCCACGTGGTCAATACAGGGTCGTAACCTGTCGGCCTTATTCCGCATCAGTACAATTGAGGCTAACGAAGTGGAACTGAGGCTTATTATTATCCCGAGAATTAGAAATATTTATCATAAAACACGAAAGCTTTGACTGTATTACTTTTGTTTGTAAGATACCATACTTCGGCCCCCTGGT